ATCAAATTTAGTAATATAATAACGTGCGATACATTTCAAAACATGGATGAACACATAATCCTACATTACATTTTTTGTATTCGTGATGTGTAACCTTTCTCTTATCATCTATTCATTAAACGCACTTTTCCGAATTGCTGTATTGTTTTCATATGGAGACGGAAAATGCTTTTGAGTCAAACGAAAAGGTTCGTTGTTAGTATCTCTTTACCTTTTAATTTAGATCCATTAGTTTCATCTAAGCTGTATCTTCTTAATATTTGTTTTATTAAATTTAAATGAAATTTACGAAATGTTAAATTTCTTCCAGATACATAGTTATATAATATAAATGTGTTATATACCGCTAAATCGAATAAATGAAAAAATAGGACGCCAATAGGCGCCTACAGTACCGGGAAGCCAACATGTTTCGGACGCCAATAGGCGCCAACAGTAGTCAAAGGGTTAATGTACAACGTTAAGCACCCGAAGGTAATATCGAGAAACGAGAAAATGAAACACTACGCATAAACCAAATGACGCAAGGGACAAGGGAAATCGGTCGCCCCACCACCCAACCTCTTCCAATTTTCAGACTGTTGATTATTATTGGCTAAGTTACGCGCTGAGCAAGAGACGTGATTAGCTTGAGCGGGCGACCGATCCTCCTTGCTCTTCGCGTCGATTAGCTTTTGGGTCTTCTCATTTACCAATAGAAGTGGGTTTCGAGAGGTCATAGAAAAGTGGGGTCTACGCGGATGCAGATCAAGCGGAGCGAGCGGAATATGTAGCCCCGCCCCCTTGCCTCTCTGCCAAAACAACTGACTTCTTCTGAGCAAGGGACAGTAGTAAACGAAATGTTTCCATCACTGTAAATTGTTTGTGAACACTATCTTGGAGACACCTGCGGTAGAAGAATTGACGACAACCTTTACAAAAACAAACTTTAAAGTCGATTTTCTCAAAAACGCAGCATCGGATAAAAATATGTTATTCCAAATACTTTTCTTATTTTTTCACGTAAAATCACCCTCTGCCCGGCACTACTACGAATTTCAGCCCACCCTGTAATATTCCCAGTCTAAATATTAATCAAGGATGTATTAGATTGTTCGGAAATTAATTTAATTTTTTAAAACACTCGATTCGGTACTTGCTCTTGAGAAACGAATTTACTTTCCGAACCCGATAAAAAACATTTGGGACCAGCTAATAATTTCTTTAGAAAAACTAGTTAGTGAAATAACGATTACGATGATCCTTGACTTCACTAACGAGACCGTTTTGTGTGCAGGTTCTCCATGGAGGGATAAAATATCATTAGCGATCCTGGAGCTACAGGAAAAAGGCGTAATACAGATCCTGTACGATAAGTGGTGGAAAAATACCGGAGACGTGTGCAACAGAGACGAGAAGAGCAAAGAGAGCAAAGCTAATGCCCTGGGCGTCGAAAATATCGGTGAGCAAACGAAATGAAATTTTTCTATACCGTGAACCACCAAGTTTCAGCGAGAATAGAATTATTAGTAGCGTCAATGAAATTCACGATCCCAGGAAAACTAGACGAGGGGACCGGGGTGCTTTATCTGACGTCGTACACTGGCTCGCGCGGACCGTTGAATTTTTTATTTGCACTTATCTATCACTGCTAGATAGAAAGTACTACTAGTTCCATAGCTTTTTTCGTCTCGTTTTGTTCTCTCGCGCAGCCGCAAAAATCCGAGCTACGTAAAACGATACTTTAAAAAACGCTTGAAAGTTTGATTAGCAATTTCGACGCAATTTTCCACGGACACTTGACGTTGACATGGAACATACGTATGTATATGAAAACATTAGACACCGGCCGAGTAATTGTCGAGTGAGAGAGACAGAATTGCGGATGATTTGGTATCATTTGATTACGACCGTAATAATTTCTAACAAATACATTCTCTATAGATAATTGACACAACGTATATTTCGATAATGAAATTTCTCGTTCGTATATTCATTGCGTTTACTTAACGAATTGCAAGAAAAAAACTGATTTATAAACGATATTCTATTGAGTACATAAGTAAGTAATTAGTAGATTTTAATTAACGTATTTTACATTTTATCGACTGTAATTGATTGGTAAAATTTTACTTCGAACATAGAAGACATAACTTTCTGCTGTTCTGTGTTTCTAAAACATAATACATATAAAATTGAATTTCCAGAAATAGTCACGGTCTCTTAACTAGCTAATTTGCTTTTCGACGTACGAGAGGATGAATGTATTTCTAAACACTCTAGACTTACGACGGCAATTAGTTTGCGAGGGACGGATGCTCTTAATAGGATTGAGGGGAATTCACTTAGAGTGTAAGTCTTCGATACGAAGGAAATTGTTAGCATCCAAATTGGTTGAATAATGATTTTTCAAGCGAACTTTCGCTTTATAGTTATACCCTTAATTGCCCCTTTACTAACATCATTGAAATAGCATTATGTAACATGGATAATTAAAAACTGATTTCATATAGCTGTGCAATTTTACCTATCCATCTTGTATCTCCAGTACAGGACACATTTTATTAATCTATAGAAAATTTATTGAATGAAATAAATTAATCTAATGAAATTTGTAATTGAAAATGTTTTTATGCAGACTGTTTACAGTGTCAATACTACTATATTCACTTTTAATCCTTTTCACATTGCATATTTTACGATGTGTGCAACAACCTTCTTATAAAAAATTTTTAAAAGAAGAAGTTCGCTGTGCAAGGAAGTAAACATCGACGTGTTAGCGTGATCTGTGTTTGCTTCACCGCTCCACCAGAAACTTTGAAAGCATCGCGAGATTCGAAGCGCTAGAGGAAAGAAACCGAAATAATGGATTCCCCTTGCCTGTTCGTTACGATTCTCGTTCGAGCATCCGGTTCATTAAGGTGACGTTTGACACAATAAGTGTTGCCTGAAAGAGTATTCAGTTGCGACGAAAGAGAAACGAGATGGCTTTCAGCCTCTTAGAAACCTTGCGGAGAGTTCTTAGCAAATTTTTCTTGGAAATGTTCGTCCCCCTCCCCCCCCCCCTACCCGCCGGATTTTATGGGAGACACAACAAGTCTTCCCTTTTTATTTTTCCCTTCGCTCCCCTTCGCAGTATCTTCCACTTCCACTTTTTTCCCAGACGGAATCCCCCCGCAATTCTCCCACCCCCTTTTTTTCTCACCCCTGCTACGGGCTGGCCTGTTACTTGGGTAAGTGCCCACTTTGCTAGCAGCGGAATGTACTCGTTGAGACAGGAAGAAGGACGAACGGCTCCCGTGTAGGTACCTACCACATGAAATTTCAGTCGGGTCTCGCTAATCGCTTTTCTGGGGGACGCGCGTCGACTATTTACCAGATCGGAGGACGGGGATCCGAAACCCTCCAAGCTGGAAAGTCACCGAATAAATTGAACTCGCCACGGTTTTTTGTATCCAGGCGGCTCATGAATTTCACCGAGAATTTTCTTGCGTTTTATTCGATTTCGGTGTTTCCAGTTTCTCGACGCGTTCTCCTCCGAGTCTCTCGAAAACTTCCAAGACATTTATTTCCGTAACGCGTATGACAGCGGTCTGCTTTGCGACACTTTCTTTGAGATATCTTGGCAACAGGATATCGTGTAACAGAAACGGCTCGAAGAGTCTACCTAGAGGAATGTGTGTGTGTATCGAAAATGCAAAATAAACATTTGAATCATCGCTTTCATGGAAATTGAAGATAATCTGCGGATAGCATTACGTGGGATTCAAATTGTCTTGTATTATGCTGAAATTAAGCACTATCACAAATATTTTCGTTAACGCTAGATGCGGATACGATACTCCTAGTTGTATAAAGAAAATATTCATACAGAAATGTTGCTATAAGGTGTATAAAGTCAAGAAGATTATTATCGAGTAGAGGAAAAGTTCAATCATTTGCAATCATTGAAGAGAGTCTCTTGGCACTTTCTTCGTGAACGTGTAAAATGAACACAAAAACGATAATGATAAGCACGAAATGACATTTGCATTAACCTCAAACAATTTTGTTTCTAATCGCTAAGTGCATATTCTATCCTCATAGTCGTCATCGTTAATAACAGTGGAAATAAGTTGAAAATCTAACTTTTTGCGCGACATCTTGTATCTCTCTAGACTCTCTAATTATCAGCATTGGCTTATTCGCAAGCGCCGGTTACAGCACATTGCCTCCTGTCGTTGTACCGCGAAATTAGTTAGAATACGGTTCAAGGAAATAGACGGACGTTCATACGAGAAACTTTAGACCTTCCGGCGAGACACGTCGGACGTCCTTTAAATCACAACGTCAGCACAGTTATGCAAATCTCGCCGGTGAAATGAGCCCGGTTCCGCACTCACCTGACGAAGAGACGAGTTCCACTTAGCATACAGATGAAGTTACACCATCGACATCGGTAGAATTATTTTAAGCCGTCCTGACTTTCTGATGACGGATGGTCCTGAGTCCGTTTATCATGGTTATCCTGATCCTATATGACCAGCTGTTTTCATTAGTCGAGATAAGATCTCGAGATAATTTTTAAATACCGTTAACCGTTTCCTCGGCTATCACGAAGAAATCTTCCTAGACTCTTTCCATTCCTTTACGAGATATTACATATTAGTATAATCACTGTTATTTGAGTTTTCGGAACTATTATGCAGATACGGTAGAAATAAATCATTATCATGATAATGACTGTACAGACTACTTTAGAACGCCTAATGCATACAAAAGTAACTATATTTTCATCTTTTAACTTGGAAAATATATTCATAATAAAATGTATACGCGTATTTATAATTATAAAGGTAGTTAATAAATAGTCATCGAAAGTTTTAACGTTTTAGCCCTTGGAATTATCACAGCATTACGAGTATTACTTCTTTTAGATACAAATAAATAATAAGATCATAAATGCCCATTCCTACTGCATTCTTTTTGAGACAGTGTGACTATCAACTTGATCATCTCCTTCAATTTCGGAATTTGAAATAGACATAACTTCAACGTTGTCTTCTTCTTCAGACGACTGATCCTCATAATTATTATTTTCATCTTCCTGAAGGTATTAAGAACAAAGTCCGGAAAATTCATTTTCAATTATAAAAATACTGTACCATTCGTAAGCAAGATATGTCTCAAACTGTGGTCGTACTTGTTACGAACGCAGTAAACATGTAGGATATGTGGTCCCTATGTGATCCCTTTTATGGATAGCGCCGTTGCCGTTTGGGGTCATTAATCGCCTCAGATATTGATGGTGTATTCCATTTTTGCTGAGGTCATTAAAAACCTTTGTTACTAACCTTTCGTACTAAAATACATTATTAGATCATTCTTATTACTATTACGTTCAAGCAACAATACTGCGAGTTAGATCGAAAGTCTAGTTTCAAGGATCTGTATACAAGATTTCACTTGCCGCATGTAGATTTACGAAGAAGAAGCGTCAAGCTCCCGAGCAAAATATCTATTCGAAAAGGATTTTGCGATAAAATACGTTTCACGTTGGAACGCATGTCGTACCGAGGCAAGAGAAGTATGGCGAGGTCGAGTGTACAGCAATCGCGAATTTTTAATATAAAACTCATAGACTGGAATCGACTGAAAAACGTATCCCCAGAGTGCTTCTCTGGAAAAATAAGTGCTGTAGAGTTAAATTGAGAAGCAACATTGCGTTTCGAGATGGAAACCGACGTCGGCCGGCGCAAAGGAACGAAAAAATCGAATACCCGAGCCCCAAGTACACACGAAGTTAGCTCGGTTCGAAAGGCAGCAGGCTGCCGTTCGCAGCGTGCATGCAAAAGTTCAAAAAAGTTTACGGCAGCGTACGCGAAACCTCCGAGCCTACACACAGAACCGAACTTTGTCGATACCGTTCCGTGAACAGAGAAAACAGAATTCGCATTCACCCGAATAAAATCGAGAAACGTACAGAGTGTGCGTGTGTGGCAAACTTTTGATCAAGCCTAAACGATTTAATGATGCCAATGTTCGAAAAACTCAAGTGAATACGCGGATATTCATGACCATTAGTCGGAATCCATTTTTATGCTGGAATACTGCAATCGTTGGAAAGCAACAGCATGGAAACAAAGAGGCCGTGCTCGTGCTCCAATTAATGTTTACAATAGTTGCATACGTTCGAAACTCTATGGAACAATTTTGTAGGGTAACTGAAACGAAGTCTTAAAACATAATGTTGTCGCTGCGCTACGTACGTTCCTTTGTTTTACGAATTATGCTCAACGGAGTATTTCTCTTTGTCTAACGACTCCAATAATTTTAAGTCATACATCGAAAGGAGGACGAAGAAGAAACAATTTTAGGTTCTAGCATTTGCCATTCATGTTTCTATTTTGTTTCGATTTCATCCCTACGAACGATTCCGTTCTCAGAATTTTTGAATTCTTTATAGGAGTTTTGAGCAACACCTACGCTTTTGATAAATAAGAAATATCTGACGCACAAACGCGCGTTCTAATTGTAACATATAAGAAAGAACTGCAATTGATTTCAAGACAACTAGTCGACTTAATTGACATTTTATGGAAAAGTATCAGAATCTTTACTATATATATATTGATTTCATTAAATAGGTAATTTTGGAGAAAAAAATTACTAAGGATTTTTACTGTGTATTCTTTTACCGTAGCTGAGAAAAGAACATTGGTAAAAACTTTTACAACGGGCTGATTTAATTCAACACTGTTGCATAATTAAAGAATGCCAAGTATAAAACATAATTTGTGTAATATTCTATCAAGAAAATTAATGATACGAATGACTCAAAAGTGGACATAAAAGTTGACTCTGAAAGTATTTTGGAACCGGTACAATATGGAAAAGATAACGATTATGGAAACATTATAGGAACCGAATTAGGATCCATAATCAAAACCGATAATAATTGAAAAGTGTTCTTCATGACAGTTAATCAGACTAAATTCTTGTAACCAAAATCGATATCAAGAAAGAATAGCCTAATTTGGATCATGCTTCAGCTTGAACGCCATGTATCTTTATAAAGATACTTGCGATGTTATGAATGATATCAATTGATTATGAATAATCCATCGAATCTGGTTTGCTTTCTTACCTGGAAGAAGAAAATTACTGACAGAAAATTATTTTAACTATTTTTAGACTATTCTGAATACGGAAGTATCACTTTCCACTAACCTTCGGTGTAACATTCAACTGTTAATAAACTTTTTCACATCACAAATAAAAACGTTTGTCTTTCACCAACCGATGCTGAATTGTCGGTGCAGTTCTAGAATCGAATTTTCCAGAAGGAAGTAACATTGGTCCTGGAAAACTAATATGTTCGATTACCTCTGGAGTTCGTTACTTTCCTATCGAGATTCCGCGACATTCCACGTTAGCCCATACATTCGACTAGAAATCCCAGTGACATGAAAAATGGAGAAACTCTTAATCGCAGCGACCATAATCGATAAATCTCTCGGTCATCCTCTTATCTCATTACATGTATAGCCACCGTTTCCCGAATCTTTTGCGCACAGTAACTTTCTAGCATGGCCGGAGGCCCTGTGCTCGGGCGTTGCACGATCTCTTAGCTCCCGATAAAAGTTTCTATACCTCCTCCACATTCGTCGAGCTTTTTTTTCTCAGGGCGAACTTGCCATTCGGCCGTTGCGATGGTAGAAAATTGAAGAAGCGTCAGGCTAAGAAACTCGAAGAATCGAAGCGAAACAAAAGGCGCCGATCGGCAAAGGTGCGAGCGTAGACGTAAATAACGACGGAGACGTATACGCGAGAAGCCTAGACAGATGGAAAGATGAATAGACAAATAGACGGGAGGGGTGAAGCGGGGTCATAGAAAAGGGGTAAACGGCGGACGAGCAGAAAAGGTGGGAGGGCGTTGGATGAACAGATTCAGGGAACAGTCCTCGGTGGCAGGTACATTAACTCCGAAGCGTGCGAGGCCCGAGCGACGTCAGAAAAGAAACGGAGACACCCGGCGGCGGTAAAATAACGAGCTTCCGGTTTTCTCATTCCAGGTGGTGTCTTTGTTGTGCTGCTTTGCGGGCTGGCGTTAGCGATCCTCGTGGCGATCCTCGAGTTCTGCTGGAATTCCAAAAAGAACGTCCAATCGGAGAGGGTAAGCGAGCAAGGCACACCGAGAGATAATTGCGTACGATTTCGTGCTTCGCGTGTACGTGCTGCATGAGTGTACCTTCTCTCCGTAGCGGTGCAAGGCCGTTTGTCTCCGCACTCTCTGTCTCCGCGTTTCTATTACTATCTCTTCTACTCCTTTCGAACGTAAGTGGAAGATTTTCTGCTCGATGTGTCAGTTGCATGCCGTGTCGGCTACTTTCCAAAACCCTTTTACAGCGTGTCCCAGACGCCAGGACAAGCTGTACGCATCTACCAGTAAAACAGTTCGAGATAGAGGAAAATGATAAAAGTTGTACGGTGAAATCGAGTCGAATGATGCATGCAATTTTATACAGTTTCATATATCCGTGTATCCGAATTGTTCATACTACCTCTGGCAAAAAGTATTCGAACATTTTTCAAAACGTAATAACTTTATCAAAACTGGACTTGACTGGATTCGAATTGTTTTTAAATGCTACAGGAATTAGTTCACTGTACAATGAATAAAATTCTTTTTTTTAATTTTGGCTCTACTTGGATGAGAAGAAAAAAAAATTTTCTTATCTGAACCTGGAACGAAAATTTAAAAAATTCGTTTTGCCTACGTGTCGTTATGCATACCTGTATGCATACTGAAAATTTCATCGACATCAGTTGACGTTGTTATTAGTGAGAAACAATTAAAGAATGTGGAAGACCCAGTCATCTTTCAGTGGCTGTAGTTTGACTATGCGTCAACTAATTTGAATGAAATTTTCAGTACGCATGCAAGTTTCCGAGATTTACAGAACGCGTTATTTAAGTTCTCATTTCAGATTCAGATGATAAAGTTAACAAACGAGAGATTTTTATATTTCTGTCACTCCAAGTAATATTAAAATGAAAAAGGGATTTTAGTCATCTCTCTCTCTCTCTCTCTCTCTCTCTCTCTCTCTCTTACTGTAAACTAGTTCCTTTAACATATAAAAAAATTCAAGTCATTTTTTTTTAACCTAGTTTTTAAAAAGTTATTGGGTTTTAAAACGTATTCGAATACTTTTTGCCAGGGGTTGTAGAATCATTCCAGGGTCAGGAAGTACAATTCATGGCTACATAAAAGCATTGTATTGACGTATTGCAAGTTTCTACTCGAGTACGCCGATAATCGCGAAGTATCGTGCAACAAATAAATTCGACTCTGAGATTTATGGTCACCCTTAATCGATTTTCAGCAGGAGAATAAAATTTATGCACAGTTTAAGATTTTTCTTAATTTTCAAAGTGTTCAAGTTTCCTCGTTAGAGATTTTATAGAAACTAAATGAGTGCATCAATTGCAGTGAGCAAAACTATGCAGTTTCAGAATGTTCATTAGAGAACCAGGGCAATCACATTTTTCGATTGCACCGGTACATAAAAATGCAGCTTCGAAACAAGTTAGAAACGAAATAACTTGATTACAGAATATGTGTTATATTCAACTAACGCCGTTGTTGTTTTGTCATATTTTTTTCCTCCTCGACCTGATTTAGAGATGCAGTCTGTTCAAATTGCGTGAAGCACCCTATTATTCGTTAGCTAGGTAGAATACTCGTTCAGCAATTTAATCTTTTCGAGTAGCTCGAATTAATACCTGTGCAACGGTCGGTTCCAATTCATTTTCTGCTATGAATGTGGAACACCATATATTGTACACGTTGACTATTAGAAAATTGTTCATACCGAATCATTCGAGAGCAAAAATACTATATGTTCCAGTAGAAAAATCTAATCGGAATGTTATCCTGTTTGCACCACTTCTGTCCTATGCACATAGTATTGTCATGCACGGCGTGTTCTATTCTCATTTCATTTGCCTGATTCGTATCGCTTATTCTCAGTGTGTCTAACCACAGCTGTACTCTCTCTCTCTCTCTCTCTCTCTCTCTCTCTCTCTCTCTCTTTTACTGTCTTAATCGCATACCTTTCACGATCGACGATACAGATTTCATTGCTTCGACGGATTTGAATTCGCCGATGACAGGTTTGACCAACATTAGCATTAAGCAACATCAATATATGTACATATAATTTTCATAAATGCACATACATACAATCAGTTACAAGAGACTTCATACACCGTCACGTTTCAAATATTTTAATCAAAAGTATTGATTTTAGATGTTACAAATTATTATTTTAATGTGCACATTTTCTACGTATTCGTTTGCGTGTTTGCTAACATTGCAGAGCATCTGAAAACGTAATGTGTTTGTGTTTGTTTTTAAGAAAATATAAATGAACCATAAAAAAGACTCGGCCAAATTTCATAGATTAAGTTTCTTTATGTTTATTCTGTCATAATATATCAAATTTTAACTGATAAACTTATATCGACTACTACGTGATATTTAAAATTTATTAAGTGAAACTTAATACTTACGTATTCACTGATTTGCATACTTCTTGAATTGTATACCCACTTACTCTACATATTGACTGATCGTGCTTTTCTCCTATATCACTCGATTCAACTGCTTTCTCTCGATTATGACGAAACTTTGCAAATTTTTGCATCAGTCAAAACAAATATGTCTTATGAAAAGTAACATCTTTAATGTCAATATTACTTAAATTTCGATTACATATTGCACATATGTTACAACTTATTCTGATTACATGATTGCACATAAAGAATCAGATTTTCGTAATTAAAAGTCTACGTTTATTTCTACTATTCGAAGATTATAAAAAAGGAAAGTCCTATTCATTTTTTATAGCTTTCAGGTCAGTGAAGTTTCATCAAAAGCGATAACAAATAGTTGAGCTGTGAACAAATCGTAGAGCCGGGTCTAAAAATCTGTGAATTAAGAAATTCGAGTTCAGCGTGTCTCATACACTCAATTATCTCTGAAACTATTAAGAAAAGACATTACAAATAGGCTCTGAGATTTCAAAATTTCTTAAAATATTTTCCTAAATAGCGAACAGTCTATTATATACTTGAGTGTAAAACTTCAAATAGAGCATCCGGCATAACTATTTGATCATTCTAACACTAAAAATCGCATCGCCTATAAGAACAGCGCTATCATTCGGAACCATCAAACCTGTCCTCGACGATTACTTCGGTACTGATAAGATCTGTATCGACGATCTCATGGCAACCCCAACTTCTCATTCGCAAACTATGTTCCACGTAACTCTATCGTTAACACTGGCATGCAGGTGAGACATACAAGAAAAGAAACCTCCGAAGCAAAAGCCACCAAAGCATCATACACGCAGAAACAAAAGAGAAACATCGTCACCTATCCGTTTTGACAAATCACTGCGCGCCAACCACATTTGCACTGGCGCACCCACGATTAATTGTAAGCTAGAAATTCATTCTCCGGCTCATCCCTCGTTTCGCGGCTGCACAACGTTCGTCCACGTACGATCACCTGAATAGTTAATCGCAGAGCACCCTCGAAACTACCATCACCCGTTCACGGTCGGAGACACTCGGGAAATCGATTTCGGAAACGGAGAGACGAAAGAAAATCGTAACGGCCTTGCGCGTTCACGGGAAGAACGGGATCGGCATGGTATCGAGCCCGATTCTTTTCTGTATCATTTGTTGTGGTATTGTTGTGCCTGCTGCGTCTACCGTCCACGCATCGACGGATGAACCAATACCGAATTGCGACGCACTTATGGATCACGCTCCCCACGATCGACTCTACTTTGCGATCCGGCAGTCCTTGTGCGCCGAGATGGTCTCGGAATTGCGGTTCGCCGTGCGCTGCGGCTCCAGACAGAGGCCGGCCGCGAAGGCGCGCAATTCCGACGCCGCGGTGCCGTGCGGCCGGTGCAGCCCACGGGCCAGCAGAAGAAGAACGCGATATTGCTCCACGGGACACGAGGAGACCACCTACATACCGAGCATCGAGATACCGCGGTTAAATGGTGTAAGTCCTGTCCCTCACGACGGGCTCGCGATCATCGTGGTCGCTTCGGGGATCTCGAGGAAAACTTTCGAATTGACACTTGATCAGCTGATAGATCCAGAGAAATTAACATTTCAATATCGGCAGCATCTCGAGTACACTTTGTTCGAAACGTAACGCGCAAGACATATTTGCAAACCATTATGAACGCATCGTATAAGACGTATCAAAGTTTTATATTTGAATTCTATTACTCATTTGTTTGTTAAAATTAAAGATGTAAAAGACGAAAGTTATTTCAATACCACAAAAATTATTTCAATTCTTTTGTTACGCGCAAAATTATCTATAAAGCTTATGAAAAAACTTAAGAAAATACAGAACGAATCGATCTATAATAGGTAAGATATCACAATGCTCATTGTATTGGTAAAACGTATTGAGGTTTTGGAAAAGAGGAAACCGTGATTGTTTATTCGAATTTTTGTTTTTAGTTTCAATTTCAGCAGTTTATTTATTGTGCACAGTAACTGGAAATATTTTTCGCTCGATGCGTTAGTTACTGTGGTGCTTACCACGAGATAGACCTACATAATCACAAATCTCAAATCACCACTGTCACACTTTTAAAAAGGAGAAAGGTAAATGTAAAATTTTTTTAAAACAGTCATCTCTAATGTGAACTTTTGAATGACTTATTATTATATTATATACTTTTTACGAAATATAAGATTTATGAAAGTATATTAAGTACTAAACTTTTATTATACACAGCTATTGAGACTCAGTATCCCGGGAAGGAGCACTGTAATTGAAGCATAGTGTTCAGGAAGGGAGCACAGTAACTGATTTTTGTAGATCACAGGCACACAGTAACTGGCTTCAGTACTTTTTATTTCTTTTACCTAATATTCAAAGGAGATTTGATACTTGTGTCATGGAAAAATTTATATCGGCAAAAAAATTTTATCTTTAAGTCCTTAAGTAACATCATTTAAATTGCTAAAGTAATGTTTAGTAGCGAAAACTCTTGAAGCCTGCTAACCTAATTATCACTGTCCTCGTGTGCTGTTACCATTAAATAGCTCAACACGTATCAATTCATCAATTCTTTGATAACGTGACTAAAAAGTCATTCAAATTGTATAAAACTAGTATAAAACAATGTACAGAGAGATGAGAACGCAACAGTAATCTCAAAGAAGTCCCCGAAGAGAAGCCACCGTTGGTCGCGGAGCAGTGACGACTTCACGGTAATTCAGTACGAAAAGTGACACTAAAAATTCATTATGGTACCAACGCGTACCTTAATTTGCCAATCGGTTAATTGTAAAGCGATCGATTACCGTGATCGAGACACAGGCTCCACAAAGCCCAAACACAATCAACGCGTTTCCTCTGCGTCGACTACGAAATTCGAAAACGAATGGGAGAAAGAATAGGAGCGACGACCGAGCCAGGAGAAGAGGTAGTAGCGCAACGGATGAGGGTTGCCTGAACGATATTCCTTTCTAGATTGTGTTCCTTTTTTAATTCGCGTCTCAGCTACGGTGCCCCTCTGATACCTCGTGAACTAGATTGAGCGCAGTTGTACGTTGCGTTGCTGGAAACTACTTTTTGTTTCGGATGGACACAAAGAAACGGGTACATGTGTAAGTCATGCACTTTGGCACGGTCCACTATTTTGCTGCTAGCCGATCGGCCGATTTATGTGTGCTAGCACGCGTGTACGCGGCCGCGTGTATGTCTGCGCCTGTTTAATCATGACCAGCGCAAAAGCTCGGCCACACACACACACGCTTACACACGCAGTACAACACACAGGCTCTCCGCACGCGAGATCATATACTTGACTGCATGCATCGAATTGCTGTTGAACGAACGTAATTCGGGGGAGCACTGCCGACACGGCGCGGCGTATCTTCAAATTCGTCGTCGCTACACCATGGAATCCTCGGGCGGTGTTCGTTGCCAGCCGCGCTGTCATCGATCGGCTTCGAAAGAAAGCGCGGAATTTTGACCACGCAGGGTACTTCGAGTAACGGTTGCCAGATCGTCAATAAATTGTGAAAATTGTCAAAACACTAAGTCTTCCATGAATACCTGTGACGGCCTTTTTTTTAAATCGTCCTGTATAATTATATGAACGATAAAATATTTGTCTTCTTTATAACGATCCGAAACATTTTTTGATAATGTTCATGGTCATCTTCGTCATTGGGATCATAAAAAAATGTCCTAGTGGTTTGTTATGCTATTTGAAGTATTGTACAATTTTCGTATAGAGGCATTTATCTTATACCTGGTAAAAGACGAACACGTCAGTTTATTATTATTTTTCCAAAATATCGCTGATACTCGTACCATACTTGTCTAAAATTCATACAAGACTATTTTTCATATTCAGTATACGCCTAAATAATTTATTCCCTGTTCACATGTTCATAAAGATTGTTATTTTACTATAGATGACATTTTGAAAATTTTCTAAAAGAATTACCTGTTGGTCCTTTAAAAAATAAAGGTGGCCTGGAGTTTTCATTGAAAAAAATATCATTTTTACAAGTTCCAACAAGGTGTTAATTGAATTTGTTTTCATATCTAACAAACTGACGTTTAGGATGGTGACTTCGGGTTTTTATTGATAGCATAATATTTGTTCGTTTATACCATTTTCATGAAACTTTCAACAATATCTCACATGTTGTGGACATCGTTAAACTGACCCCCCTGTATATTGGTAAACGTCGCACACTTGGGTAAATACGTTATTTACAGCATGACAATTGGTGTTAATATTTACCGGTAACATTTGACTAAACTGTTGATCTTACAAGTTGTTTCAAAAAACAGTACTTCTTGTTGTACGCAGTGTTCGCAGGAAAACTAGCTATGCAAAGAGTGGAGTGATGACGCATGCGCAGGGAGACCTGCACAGTGACGTGGCACGTCTACCGGATGAACATCATAATTCCGAATTACGATCAAACAGCAATTTTACATCACGACGCGATCGTAGTTCAGCATTATAATGTTCACGCTGTGGACGCGTCATACTGCTGTGCGGGACTCTCGCGCATACGTCGCCTGTCCCAATTCTTGCATAGCTAGTTTTCTTACGAACTCTTGTAGGTTCTTGTTTCTACGTAGACACTTAACGTCTCTACTTTGTATGTGCACCTGACATATCTAAAATTGTTCGATCTTATCTTCAAATTATTCTCCTGTACGTCTTTTGTTTCTCTTCCCTTTGTCTTTTCTCTTGTGTACGCCATTGCAACATTTCCAGTATCTTTTAACTACATTTCTTATATACGAAAGCTGCTGTTACATGGACTAAGTACCTCCATTGTATTAATAAGGATATTTTCAGATTGAGCGTAGAATTGTTTCTATAGACATTGAAATACGAGATGATAATGAATGTATGAAACTTTGTTCGTAAGTTTTCTTTCTCTTTTTCTAACAACTCGTACCAAACTTGTGAAAAATATTCGTCTCGATCCCATTTGGTCCCGAGGATCAAAACTAAATACATCTAAAAGTTTGTTAAAATTATATTAAAACAAGTTAGGTACGAGAAAAAGATCTCTATATTATCTCGACGTCAGCAATAGAATAGTTATGGCATATAATTTTTTCACGAGATACTGAAACATGGAATAATAACGAATGTATGAAACTTTAGTATCTGATTTCATTGAATAATTCGCATTGAATTTCTAAATGGTGCAGGGTGTCCCATCAGTTTCTTTCCTCCCAGTATTTCTAGTAAAAGAACTAAAAAGTTTATCGCTACATTCGTGTATCAGAATATCATTCGTTTTCCAAAGTCTAAAAGTTAATTGCAAAGGGAAACCAGTGCATGCAAAGGAATGGAAGGATCTATTTATTAACAGATAACATACATACAAAATATTGCTTTATCAACTCAAAGTTGTTTCATGTGTTTCATGTGTGCTAGGATCGTGTAAAAATTTCTAATTATCTATTCGCTTTTCAATAATCTTTACATTTGTGACAATTAATCCACATTAAGTTAATACTTTCAATGTGAACAATGTACAAGTTTCCGTCACCAATCTATCTCGTATAATTTTTTGAGATTATTGTTTTCATAACACGGCCAAATTACAATAAAAATGTACAAAGCTTCAAACTAATTAATTTCATGTAGTTTCTTGGAAGAAATACAGAACAATCGAATGTTTTTTATACTTACATCCAGTCTTCGCAGACACTGTGAGACACCCTGCATAACTAAAGAGAACTGCGGGTTGAATCTCCACACGTTTCACAGGACACAAAGGTTCGTCGTTTATTGCAGGACAGTTCGCGAGTCGGTGAAGCTGTTACTCGGAATTCCATTCGCGGTAAAATTTCCCATGCCATTTCGATATCGGCGGTATAACAAGGCGTTAAGTAAGTCGTAAAATTTGATTCCCGTGGATAGAGGAGGGGCGGAAGGGAGCCACCACTTGTCGTTACATCTGAGCAAATATCGACGCGAGTGGTTACGTCGTGAGAGAATAGAGTGTTCGTTAAACAGGATTGGGAAGGGAACGCTGTCGACCCGGAACGGTTCGCCGTCGTCGAAACTCGCGTGAATGGTGCTCGTGATCGTGGCGGAAGTGATTTTTCCAGACCGCGTCACATTTTCGAGTCCCGTTTCCGTGTGCCGAGTCACTGGATCTCGGAAATTCTCGGCCAGTACTGTAAAAGAAATGGATCGATCCGCTTCGGTGCCCACCCAATGCAAATTCCCGACCGAGATAACCGCGTCCAGCGAACCTCGGATGAGAAAATTTTGATATTCATTTAGAAATGTCAAAAACCATCTCGAATCCTACAACTCGAGAATTTTATACTATCCAACGTTCGTTGGAATAACTTTATATAAATTGACTTTTATAAGTATTTCTTTTCTTTAGAAGTATATCCGCGAAGATAAATTAACCCCTCGCCATACCATTTTCTTTACGGTTACAATGATTATGTAAAAGCTTTTCGATTGTAATAATTTCCTAGAAGAAAAAGAAAATATACATTTATTGTATGCCAACGTTTACTTGAATACTTAAATATTGACGAGAAGAGAACAGAATTTAATTCAAACCTGAAAAAGAACGAAGTAATAGTCATGTTTAACAAGTTAGTATTAGAAATCTTCATTAAGAGTCAGAATCGTCAAAGTATGACAAAGGCTTAATGATTGCTGTGTGTCATTTTACTTTTACAGCTTTGTCTCTAGCGAATATTAGTAAATTTAATGTAACTTAGAGAGGGGGGAATTCTCAATAGCATGCAGAATACAATTGAACTAAACTGTGAGTACATCTATACAGTTGATAAGTCTTTCAGGATACTCGGGCATAAAATAATCGTTATTTTGATAGCTTTATCCAGCGAATTTTATTGAATTTGTTGTCTCGCCTCTGGCAGAAAAAGGAATGCAGTCATCTCATTGAAAACATATAGCTCGAAGAGGAATTTCTGATATACTAGTATGGAGAATGCAATTCAATTAAACTATACATTCATTTATACGACATGATGAAAAATAACAGAGTTCTAAAATCGTTGTGAACATGAAAAAATATCCGACAGAGCAGCATAGAAAACGCAATTTCATCGAACTATTACTTCGTTTGTACGATTAGTAAGTCTCTCGGGATACACGGAAACAAATTAATGTTCGTTGTTCCTGTCACTATGTCTAGCAAATGTAGTTGAATTTTTCATTCTTCTGTCTCCGATAGGACAACAAAAAATGCAGTGAGTTTGATCTCGTCGGAATTACGTTACAAAGCAACTAGGAGAGGAATTTCTGATAGCCTGGTGTAGTTACACGCTTTCGTTTTCCACGGTCCCTTTGTCTCTTTGCATGAAAACGGGTTTCGGCTCAGTCAGACGAGCCATTCCTGGTTAAAGTTTAATTACAGTTCAGATGGACTGGGATTAGCGACACAATCGAATTTCATCGGCGAATTCGATCCAAAACTACGCCCGAATCGGATTTCGGTCTTCGCGTCGACTTCGCCGGAGGTGAGAAGGGTGAAATTCGAGAGGAACATTCTCATTTCGACAAACCCCCGCGAATTCCTGTCGGTTTCCATCCGATACCTCAATCAGCAGCTTGAGATATTGGTTGTCGAACGATTGTCACGGTTTTTTGAATGAGAAAGTATCGAACTATATTCTTCACATTCTCTTTTCATTCGGTGTGGCATCAATCTTTCATGAAACTTGACCTACAAGTGTTTTATTTCAATTTGAAACTTGCTCCTGTATACTGAATTGTTTTCGAGCGATAACGAATAATCCAACATACACAAAATGTAGTTGGCGTAAAATTGAAATGTTTCTAATTTATTTTATCGTGATTAATATTTTGATTGTATAAAGATTATTCATAATATTTGCAGCGTTTAAAGTTCGATTGTTTCATCAACGGAACGAATAATCAATGTTTGACAAAGGAAAATTCGAAATTGAAATGTCAATTTGGTGTCAGGAAAGCAAGCAAGACATTATTTCTCATTATTTCTTGATTGATGCGTATTAATATTTAATACATTATTATTCCAAAATTATAAGTAAGTTTCATGCTGTACTGTTACATTTCGTGCGAGCATATATTTCAGGTGAACAGTATATTTTGCATCGCACGGGGAAATGCTAGAAAACAACCTCCGAATTTCGATTCGTTCTGACGCTTTGGGGAATCGAAAAATACCAGTCGGATACGCTCGAGATTAAATTACACAGTTAGAATTTCATAGCGCTGAATATTGCCTATTGCTCTTTGTGTAAGGAATCGAATCTCTCCGGTGGAATTTCGAAAAATCATGATTCGACCGGCTGAGACTGAATTCCATCTGGTTAAAGCGTCACTGTTTTCGTTTCACTGGTTAAAGCGATGCAATCCGCCGGTTTTGTTTCTCTTTTTCATAAAGGAACAATTTGTCATATTCCCTAACCGAGTCAACGTTTTATCGAAATTGAATTTCGCCTGATATACATATACGCGTTTATTGGGTTTTCATCGTGAAGAAGCGCAGCTCGACGAATGTAAATTGATATAACGAATTTGGCGAGATCTCGTATACAAATGCGGTAATGGACCAACCAGGGGATTTTCCCTTGTCAGGCGTGTCGAACCAGAGGGAAAAGAAAACGATGTCAGAGCTGGAACAAGGAACGTTTTTGTCTTGGGGTTCATTCAGACCCAAAAGTGAACGGCCATGCGGTCTATAAAAAAACCGGTCCAATATGTGGAAGGCACGTGATCGTTGATAACTCTTTTACGAGCTTTTAAAAAGGTCCGATAACTTTTAACGACTCGAACGAAAGTTATAATAAGTCGGCCGCTCACGGTTGCCTCGTCGGTTCACAATATTCCAGAGACCGGGAGTTGTTCGTCGGTAACTATCCCGATATAGCTAACACCTGCATTTACTTCTCTCAGCAGGAGGGTGGTGCGTTGTCGATGACGGAGATGAAGAAATCATTGAGCTTCGATCAAGTGGGAGCGGCCCGTGGCGGGAACACCTAGCACAGGCCTCATCCTCATCTTCATCCTCAGCAGCAGTCGCAGCAACAACAGCAGCAGCAACCACCACCACCACCACCGTGCAAAGCCACACCCACGCACACGCGTCACATACACTGCCACTCACATTCACACAGCCACAGTTACAGTCATACGCACAAGCACCAACCACACCCACCGAGACAGAGGCGGGACTCTTCAAGCATCGTCACGGGTCAAGGTGCGTAGACACTGTTCTATTCCTGATGTTATAGTCTTAACACTAAATTTGCGGACATATCTGAATACAAATATTTGAGAAAGGATTGGAAATTGTTAATGAAATACTCTTGTTTGTATGAAATAATATTTCAAGATTTATTTGACGTCATAGAGATAAGTGTATTTGAAAATAGTTGCTTATGTTGTGGTAAAGAAAATGTTTAATTAAGGTCGTATTTCCTCTTAAGATACACTGGAAGTAAATAATTCTGTCGTTTGTCTCCTAAAAATCTTGAAACCTTGTGAAAAAAAATCTTGTGGCTCGAACAAAAAAGTTACTCCATTTTAAAAGGTGTCCATATTATATAGGGTGTTTCCTTTATCCTGCGCACTTAAATATCTTCGTTAATTTTGTTTACTATGACCTTGAAATGAATCATAAATCATAATAACAATCAAAATAACCTTTGAACCAAACAAATTTGTTACGACACATTTTTTCATATAAACAAAATTAACAAAGATAATTGAATGTGCAGGATAAAAGAAACACTCTATATAATTGTTGGACGAATGTATGTCAAAATCTGACGAACGTGCTAACAGATCGTTATTTCCAGTTAAAATTCGATTATCTATCGCGCTCCGACACATTTCAAAACAGATATTTTCGCTATCCAGGAGGTGACCACCCTGAGAGTATTCTCTGGAGATTCGACTGCGATCTGGCGGGTGAGCCAGACGTGGTGATATCGCCGCCGCCACCGCCGCCTCCGCCTTCGGCGGTCGTATCAAGGCCCACGACCCTTTGACCAATACTTGAGGAGGTGCCGACAGGTGTGCCCGTCCAGAAGGAGCTGCCCACACAAGCTTCCGTGGTCGTTAACATGGTCGACATGAAGGAGACCTGCTTATAGCATATGTAGTCGCCGGGGCACGAGAGTTGACCGCCGCGCGGCCAAGCCGATGCCATCGGCGACGACGGATTGCCGGCTGCATTGTCCACGTGACGACGTCGATTGAGCGCGATCCATTAAAAGCAGAATAAAGCGGTAGAGGCGAGGCGGAGTTCGGCTTCGGCATTCGCGTTCGCGCGAGTCTGGACAGCGAACAAAACGATTGTCGACGAAGACCGCAGGGAAACCGTCGGAAACTTGCAACAAGGCGGGCAGCGAAAGCTGATTAGGATCGATCGTGGAGCCTGCTGCAGCGACGAGCGACGTCGCCACTCAAATGACGGAACAGGATCAATTGCTACCATAAGGTGTCGTCGCGATGGCAACGATCGAACTCCACCGGAGGCAAACAACGAGCGATAGGTGCTACGTGACTGGTCCACCGGAACCAGGTTCAAGCGTTTTTGAGACAAGAGGTTCTAATACACGTGGGACCGAGTATAGCGTTCAATTCAATTATTACGGATACACGAGCCCCGAACTTCAAGCATAAACATATCGACATGGATTTAAGATAGAGGTCGGCGAGTGCGCGTTCGTTGGGAACGACCATCGAAGACAATAACTCCATTGATCTTGTTAAACGAACGGTTCTATCGTGAATGAAGATGCCGACGGTCCCCTGTGATCAAGAATCGGCGAAGAAATGAGGTTGCTCGAAGAGGAATCAAACAGTAGAAAGGAGAAACATCGACGATATTAGAGGAGCATGTGATTGAATTCGGACCAAACTCATAGTGATCACTGCCAAGAGATAGCCTAATATAGTAGAACGGTCTAATTCGGTTTCCACCGAGGGAAGAGCTTAACGTTCAAGGAAATGTACGGCCTAAGATGATCCTCGTGTTCATCCTCTGAATGGTCAATTCTCCGACTGGAGGAGACCGACGAACATTCCGCGTCGAAATTAAACCCTAACCGCGATGATGCCCAGAAAAGCCACGCAGGAACCGAATAGAGGAACGATTGAGTCGATGTTCGATCGAGGGAACAAAGTTGCGGGGACGAGCGTTCTCTACGAGTTCTCTCGAGTCACGTGCGGCCACGCCAATTGCCCCGTAACCTTGTTGAAAGGCTAACGATCCAAAGAAACGCGGCGCCACCATTAGGAGGACAATTCCGCCGGCAACGTGTCATCCGTGAGGTGAACAGGCATACGCGACCGCGGAAAAGAAATGAATTAAGCGTCTCTGACGAAGGCTGACGACGACTTCCGGGTGAAGTCGCGTCGTTTAGAAAAATTTCAAGAGCTTTCAGCGTCCTTTTGAGCGGCCAGAATCGAGCTCAGCTCTCGATCGGACAAAGTACAAAATTCCGAGAACGTCGCCCGAAGGTCTTCGAGGAACTTTCGCGCCCTGATCCTCGCCTCCGAGTCGTTTCTCGCGGGAACACGCACCAGCGGAGACGGACCACAGGTTTTTCAAGCATTTTACACGGTAGACTCGGAGGCAAATAGTGGGGATTCCGGAGTCTTTGAGCTTCGTAAGATGAGGCGGAAACGCGAAAGTTGGGAACAAGCGGAAACGCGGTGGTTCCGCAACGGAGCCGGCTACAGTTTCTCGATCCCGAAGGCGATTCTGTATTATAGCCAACGGTCGTGCACGACGACCGAACTGTTCAACGATGGGTGACAACGACGGTGACCCGTTCTTCAGATACGAGTTCACCGGGCGATCGTGCGTATGCGTTAGTCCACAAGTTAATGCCACCATAGTTAAGTGCGTAGTCGTGTAAGAGACCCTTGTCACATTTTGACACGATCGATCGTTTATTATGATTATTAACGATACGTTGTACAGCGAGTGTTTTTCACGAATTTCGAATTGTGGTGTTGCGCGTTGCGGCTTCCGATTAAGCAGCCGCCGCCGTATGTATGTATTATATATAAATATATATACACAGCTACAGACACATACAAACACATACCCACACAGACACAATGTACCATTGTACACATAAGGTGAGCGCAGGTTTACTAACGAGATCGCGTCAGTCAGACGGATTTACTAAGACGTTATTAGCGAAATTTGCAGGATGTGAATCCGAGCGTTATTGTGGGTGTATGCCAAAACGGTGAATGAGAGGAGGAGAGAGCGAGAGAAGAAGAGAACGGGAGAACCGTGCTGAAAACGCGTAATCCGTGCTGTCGTCAGACCTGACAAGCAGTCAGGACGCTTTTGATGTTTGAAACGCGACAACGACACGTGGCTCCGTTTGATAACTATACGGGGAAGCAATCGGACCGATTCGTTGATTTCTTGTCAATAAAGAATGGCTTTGCGTATTGTCCGCGAGCGATACCGATGCGCGCGGGAGGTTCGAGATGTCTGGATTTCTCGCGCAGGCAGGCTGTTCCGAGCTCACTTCAACATGATCGCGAGTATCTTGTCAAGGAAAGTAGATGTTAATCCGAGTTCGAGGAACAATTCGTTTCATCGTGTAAGACGAGGATCTGGTATCTAGGAACCTGTCAGAAAGACGAGCTAGGAAAAATTGACGGGGAATCCGGAGATAATCGAGGTCTTAATCCCGTGACAAATGAAGGATGAGTACATTCTCTTCGATCGAGCGACGGTCTTCCTTGTATCAAAATCAAGGCGGATCGGATTACTTTATCGGAATCACGATTCATTTTTCTTCGATGATAGTCTCCTGTTACGGTTCTCCCGCGAAATCGATCCGATACTTGGGCCGGAAACGAATTTACGGTGCTAATAACACGTATTTGAGGGGGTATTCTGGTCTAGAACCTTTAGGCGTACGACAGTTTTTGATATTAAAATCAAGGACAGTGCGGAAGATTGTTTGATAGAAAGTCTAGTGTATAATAAGGATGCCCATGTAAATTGATTTTAGAGAGTTTGTTGAATTCGGGGTCCTGAAATTATTTACAAACCGTTGTTCTAAAACAAAATACCTAATTATTTGAAAATATACTGTAGAGAGTAATCCACGGTAATGCCCAAAAAAGTATTGTTTTGATATGAATGTGACGAATTTTTTAAGATTTCAGATTGTTATTTTGAGCATTTGCTAGAATAAATTCTTTTATCGATTTTGCTATTGCTGTTACTTTCCAATTATATGCATTGTCGGCAGTTATATATATCGACAGATTCGTCTTAATCCTTATTATCACATGACAATGATCTTGGAAATTCGAAAAATATAAAAAGTATCTCGCTTACCACAGCGGTTGATCCTTCGAATCATATTTTCTTCTCACATTTCTTTTATTTGCAATCTGGCAGGGGCCCTAGTACGGCTCTAGCCACGAGGCTCCGCATACAATTAGGCGAAACGCGAAGAAGGGAAGGCCTTTACACCATTTCTAAGTCACAAACTTTGTTAGTTTTCTATATTTCGAAAGTACATGGTAAATCATATTCCAAATGCAGAAGAATTTGAAGGAAACCGGAACATTTTAATCGAATTTTCAGAAAATTAAAATTTTTTCTAGACCGGGATACATCTCCGAGAGCGAAATTCAGGAAACATTGTTCCGCGCGTTGAAAGCAGAAGCGTGGAGTTCAAAAGTTCACGACTACTTGTCACGTCGCCACTGGTGTGCCACTATTCAATAAATAAATTTTATTTACTTAATCGACCTAGACATTTCTACACTTGGCGTAGCAGTCAGAAACACGTTGACTTCCTTTTGCGATTGGTCGGCCGGGGATTCGAAGCCGAAATGTCGTGGGGAAGCAAACCAAAGTCAAAAAAATGAAAATGAAAGTGGGCGACATCTTCCACTTCTAATTCTCGGCTCTCCGATTGAGTGATTGTGATACGCAGTGAATCGTCAACTCGAACATATCTCTCCGAAAATAACAGACAATTAAATGTTGTTATACGCATGTTTTATTGACTACCTTTCAGACATTTTTTTCTAATCCGTGCGAGACTTATCCACATGCAGCAGACCATGGTGGGTTTCCCAGTGTCACGCCTGCTAAACGAAAATGATTGCAATACCCGTTATTCATCGACATCCGAACATCCATTTCTCTCTCACAGTATTTCCTTTCGTATCCGTTTCGCGGGTGCAATAAATGCTAGCGGTGATGCATGATGATTTCATCGCCGTTATTAATCGAGCGGGATACGACGTTATTTGGAAATCGCGAGATACGGACGTCATTGCAAACAGGATGACAAGTCTACGCAACGCCTCATCAATCACGACCCGCCATTCCTCGATGTATGTATATCCTCGGAAACGAGCTTTCCTTCGCCTTCGGCGACACGATTCCGTTTACCATGCTCATTATATCATTTATGAAAAACTCGATCGCGGCGGGACCAATTGCAGCCTGATCAATATCGATCTGAAAGCACGAATTCATTTCAAATTGAAATTATTTTAACGGAATTTATTCGACTATTGAAAGGTTTTTTCCTGTCCGTGGCTCATTTCGATATTACATTCGCTTCGATATTTAAATCGTTTCAGGCAAAAATATCAAATGGAAGCTATTTACCTCGTTCATATTAATTGGCAGACTTCGGACTGCTAGTGCTTTCGAGTGTGGTATTTTACGGCATTCGCGTAGAAGAACGCTATCGGTTATAACGAAGTTCAATTAAAGGAAAGCAAACACGAAAGTAATCAAAAAACTTTGGCCATCACCTGCGAAGCGATGGAGTGTACCATCTGTGAAATTATCAGGCATCATTCGTTTCGGTGTTGGCCCGAAGCAGCGATCGATTGAGTGAGAAGGAAAATGAAACTTTTTCCCCTTGAATGCATGGCCAGTAAGACGGAGACCTCGGCTAGACTCGGTGAAAATTAATCTTGAGATACTCGTCGTTACGT